CCTCCCGCTTGACGCAACCCCGCTGCCCTGCCCTGCCCCACAGCAAAGCAGCACCTGCTCGCTCCCCCGGCCAGTCTTCCCCCGGGCGCTGCTGCTCTCCGGGCCCGGTCGCCTGCATGCGAGGCCCCGAGGGGGCCGCTTCTCGTGCTGCTGGGGACGGGAGGAGGCCAGCCAGGTCTGCACCAGCTAGCAGAAGCAGCGGCGGAGCCGTGTGCTGCTCAGGACGGGACGAGCCTGCACTGCTCAGTCCCGAGCGGCACATGCTCCACCACCACTTCTGCTGGCTGGTGCAGACCTGGCCGGCCTCCTCCCATCCCCAGCAGCACATGGGAAGCCAGCTTCAGCTGCATGCTGCTTTTCCTGGCTGGTGCCGACCTGGTTCTACCCAGGTGGGTCCTGCAGCACTGTGTCAACCCGGGCATGGCACCAGCAGGCCGGGCGGGCCCCAGGTGAACCCCGGCCTGGCCCCAGAGCTTCTCCAGCACCAGGTCAACCCAGTTGTGGCGCTGCAGAAGCTGCTTGGCTATGTCAACCATCACCATGTCAACCCCTGCAACTTAATTGGTGTCAAAGGTCACGTGACATCACTTCCTGATATGATACCACTTCCTGTGACATCTTTGAATATGGCTCACCGGCCCACTGGGTGATTAAAAAGTTTGATCCGGTCCCACATTCAAAAAGGTTGGACACCCCTGCTTTAGTAGATGTTTGTTTCTTTTTGTGGAGTTTTTTTAAATGTATGATTTGGTTTTTATCTATAACAACATTTGTTACAATGGTATCTTCTAAAAGATGTATGCAGCCCTTGACACACTCAAAAATTTAAGTGACCCACCAGCCAAAATAATTGCCCACCCTGGAATAGGCCTTCAGTCCTCCTAGGAGAGGAGCAACTTTTAAGTACCTTTCTGCACAAGTTTCCCTTGATTTTTATGTGGTAGGTGCGTTCCCAGGGAACAGCACATAAATTTCATTTGCATAAAGTGAACCACCATGGGACACATCCCTATCCATTTCATTGTAAACTGGATTCACTTTATGCGAGTGCGATTTATGCGCTGTTCCCTGGGAACGCATCTACCACATACATCAGTGGGAGGGAGTGAGGCTAGGGAAGGAGCACAGAGGGGCGTGGTACAGCTGCAAGCAGGGGTGGCACTGGGCTCTACACAGCACTTGGGGTGGGCAGCAGCCCCAGCTGATGCAGTCATGGGAGTGGCCAGTGCCAGCTGCCTGTTTAGCTACTGGGCTGCACTATGCCCCAAACCCCCTGGCACGGCGCAGCCCTGCTGCCTGTCCCTACTGCAGCCCTGGGAGCAGCGGACGCCACCTACTTGCAGCCTCTGGGCTACACCACGCTGGGAGGTTCAGTGCACAGTGCCCCAGGGGAAGTGGAGCCCTGGGGGGGTTTAAGCCTTGGCGCAGCCCAGCGACTGCAAGCTGCTGTCATCAACCACTCCCAGAGCAGCTGCAGCAGGGGCTGCAGTGAGTGGAGCCTTGGCCCCATGGCCCTTTCCCCTCCCCTCACAATCTCACAGACTTACCTGCTTGGGGGAGGGAGGACTGTGCCTATGCCAGTCGCATAACAGTGAATTTACATCTCGTATAACAAATTTCAGGTATAAAAAGGGTCATTGTATGAGAGCAAATTTGCATAAATAGAACCCGCATAAATCGAGGGGAAACCTGTATTGCAGACCTGGGCACACCTTAGCCCTGTCTCCTATGTCCCTGCTACTAGGGTATAAATTGATCAGTAAGGTCTCTAGACTTTGTTACAGGCAACTCATTGCCACAAGCAGCAGTGTGCTTCAGGTAGAGGTGGTCCACTCATGTCAGAAAAGTTACATTGACAATCTGGCAAGTAGTGCATGTAGCTGCCATATTGGAATCCAAGATGGCTGTTGTGAATTCAGTTTGGTCCATATTTCAGCCCCCACTAGGGCTAGAAAGTTGATTCTAATTTTCAGTTGTAACATTTTCATTGTGGTAGCCATGTTGAAAGCATTACATCTCAGGCTAGCCCTTTTTTTTTTTTTTTTTAATTTTAGAATGTAGGTTAGTCAGGTATTTAATAATACATAACCCAATGGCAATGAAATGCACAGACGTATGTTCAGTTCAAAGCAATAGAAGAATGTAATGGTCTAATACAACGGTATACATAATACTAATACAACAGGTAATTGCAGTTTTTCAGATTACATCACTGTAATCTCATTTCAGTTGTCCTTTTGTCTTTTGTTATGATTGAAAGGTGTTATTGTATTGATTCCAAACATGATTTACTGTCTCAGTTAGGGTGACCTCTTTTGTTGCAGTTCAGTACCCATTGTGGTCTACCTGATTTGTTGCATGTTATGCTTAC